ATTCCCTGTCTTAGGTCAGTTAGGATCACCACTTTATTTTAAGAATGTGAAATGTCAGAAAAATAGTAGAGAGAATGATTTATTTCAGCTTTTATTTCTTTCATCACATTCCCAGTGGGTCAGACGTTTATATACACTCAATTAGTATTTGGTAGCATTGCCTTTAAATTGTTTAACTTGGGTAAAACGTTTCGGGTAGCCTTCCACAAGCTTCCCACAATAAGTTGGGTGAATTTTGGCCCATTCCTCCTGACAGAGCTGGTGTAACTGAGTCAGGTTTGTAGGCCTCCTTGCTCCCACATGCTTTTTCAGTTCGGCCCACACATTTTCTATAGGATTGAGGTCAGGGCTTTGTGATGGCCACTCCAATACCTTGACTTTGTTGTCCTTAAGCCATTTTGCCACAACTTTGGAAGTATGCTTGGGGTCATTGTCCATTTGGAAGACCCATTTGCGACCAAGCTTTAACTTCCTGACTGATGTCTTGAGATGTTGCTTCAATATATCCACATAATTTTCCTTCCTCATGATGCCATCTATTTTGTGAAGTGCACCAGTCCCTCCTGCAGCAAAGCACCCCCACAGCATGATGCTGCCACCCCCGTGCTTCACGGTTGGGATGGTTCTTCGGCTTGCAAGCGTCCCCCTTTTTCTTCCAAACATAATGATGGCCAAACAGTTCTATTTTTGTTTCATCAGAACAGAGGACATTTCTCCAAAAAGTACGATCTTTGTCCCCATGTGCAGTTGCAAACCGTAGTCTGGCTTTTTTATGGCGGTTTTGGAGCAGTAGCTTCTTCCTTGCTGAGCGGCCTTTCAGGTTATGTCGATATAGGACTTGTTTTACTGTGGATATAGATACTTTTGTACCTGTTTCCTCCAGCATCTTCACAAGGTCCTTTACTGTTGTTCTGGGATTGATTTGCACTTTTCGCACCAAAGTACGTTCATCTCTAGGAGACAGAACGAGTCTCCTTCCTGAGTGGTATGACGGCTGCGTGGTCCCATGGTGTTTATACTTGCGTACTATTGTTTGTACAGATGAACATGGTACCTTCAGGTGTTTGAAAATTGAACCTGACATGTGGAGGTCTACACATTTTTTTCTGAGGTCTTGGCTGATTTCTTTTGATTTTCCCATGATGTCAAGCAAAGAGGCACTGAGTTTGAAGTTAGGCCTTGAAATACATCCACAGGTACACCTCCAATTGACTCAAATGATGTCAATTAGCCTATCAGAAGCTTCTAAAGCCATGACATAATTTTCTGGAATTTTCCAAGCTGTTTAAAAGCACAGTCAACTTAGTGTATGTAAACTTCTGACCCACTGGAATTGTGATACAGTGAATTATAAGTGAAATAATCTGTCTGTAAACAATTGTTGGAAAAATTACTTGTGTCGTGAACAAAGTAGATGTCCTAACCGACTTGCCAAAACTATAGTTTGTTAACAAGACATTTGTGGAGTGGTTGGAAAACGAGTTATAATGACTCCAACCTAAGTTTATGTAAACTTCCAACTTCAACTGTAGGTCCTGTCTGTGGAGAGAACGCTAGAAGTCTTCTATGCACCAATAATATTTTATTAGAATTTGATTTGATGTAAGCTCTGAAGTTGAAAGTAGTGTAGCGTTTAACTGGAGGTAGAGGGTCCAATTACATGTTTTCTGTGACTTTTACAGCTACCCAATTGAAAATTAAAGTCCATGACAGAGACCATTTCATGGTGTACTGACTTTTACCGTCAGTTTACCTTCACTTCACTGGATGGGTCTGGTTAAGTTTGATGCAGTCTTTGTCTCTTGGTTTTGGCATCTAGTGCGCCGGTCTCCATCTCTAGTTTGAAGCCTCAGTGAGCTCCTGTGCCATGCCCCTCCTTCGTCCTTATCTCTCTGTATCATCCTCTCATCTCCTCCTCCCTCATGGTCCTGCTAGGTGGAGGGTCTCCCTGCGGGGATCTCCAGGAGGTGGAGGATGGTTGTGATCCGGAGCAGATGGAGCTGATCGAGGCCCACAGGGTGGTGAGGGAGGTGGCTTCGGGAGAGGGACGAGCAGAGGAAGGAGGTGCTGGGGACACAGGACAAGGAGGCCATCCACACCTCCAACCAGGAGCTGAGAGCCACCGTGAAGAAAGCAGAAAAACGAAAAACAACAGGTAGAGAGAGTACAGTCACTATTTCTAACCCTGACCCTATCCCTCCAATCAGGAGCTGAGGGAGTCTGTGAAGACAGCTGAGAAGTACAAGTAGAGAGAGTACAGTCACTCGCTGTCCCAGACAGACAACAGGTAGTAGCTGTCCCAAACAGACAACAGGTAGTCGCTGTCTCAAACAGACAACAGGTAGTCGCTGTCCCAAACAGACAACAGGTAGTCGCTGTCCCAAACAGACAACAGGTAGTCGCTGTCCCAAACAGACAACAGGTAGTCGCTGTCCCAAACAGACAACGGGTAGTCGCTGTCCAATACAGACAACAGGTAGTCACTGTCCAATACAGACAACAGGTAGTCACTGTCCCAAACAGACAACAGGTAGTCACTGTCCAATACAGACAACAGGTAGTCACTGTCCAATACAGACAACAGGTAGTCACTGGATGTGACCGAATTCTCATACTCCTATTATTTAACTGAGCAGCATGTAGAGAATTCCTTAATAGTCACTGTCCCATACAGCTAACCATGGTAACCTAGGTAACCTGTCTAAATGACTGTCGCCCAGTAGCACTCAAATCTGTAGCCAAGCAATGCTTTTAAAGACTGGACATGGCTCACATCAACACCATCATCCCAGACACCCTGGACCCACTTAAATTCGCATACCGCCCCAACAGATCCACAGATGACGCAATCTCTGTTGCACTCCAAACTGCCCTTTCTCACTTGGACAAAAGGAACACATACGTCAGAATGCTATTCATTGACCGCAGCTCAGCGTTCCAACACCACAGTGCCCTCGAAGCTCATCACTAAGCTAAGGACCCTGGAACAGAACACCTCCCCCTGCAACTGGATCCTGGACTTCCTGACGGGCCGCCTCAGGGGTGCGTGCTCAGTCCCCTCCTGTACTCCCTGTTCACCCACGACTGCGTGGCCGCGCACGACTCCAACACCGTCCTTGAGTTTGCAGACGACACAACGGTGGTAGGCCTGATCACCGACGACGATGAGACAGCCAATAGGGAGAAGGTCAGTGACCTTAAATAATAGGGTTTCTGTATGGACCTCGCATCGTGACACTGGGGCATTTTCATGCTGAAATAGGAAAGGGCCTTCCCCAAACTGTTGCCACAAAGTTGGAAGCACAGAATCGTCTAGAACAGGGTTCTTCAATTCCGGTCCTGGAGGGCCGAAACACTTCTGTTTTTTATTTCTACCTGGTAGTTAATTGCACTCACCTGGTGTCCCAGGTCTGAATTAGCCCCTGATTAGAAGGAGAGGATGAAAAACAGAGGTGTTTCGGCCCTCCAGGACCGGAATTGAAGAACCCTGGTCTAGAATGTCATTGTATGCTGTAGCGTTAAGATTTCCCTTCACTGGAACTAAGGGGCCTAGCCCGAACCATTAAACTTTACAGTTGGCACTATGCATTGGGGCAGGTAGAGATCTCCTGGCATCCGCCAAACCCAGATTCGTCCATCGGACTGCCAGATGGTGAAGCGTTATTCCAGAGAACACGTTTCCACTTCTCCAGAGTCCAATGGCGACAAGCTTTACATCACTCCAGTCGACGCTTAGCATTGCACCTGGTTTGTGTGCGACGAACAGTTTGTGTGCTGATGTTGCTTCCAGAGGCAGTTTGGAACTCGGTAATGAGTGTTGGTACGCGCTTTAGCACTCAGCGGTCCTTTTCTGTGAGCTTGTGTGGCCTACCACTTCGCGGCTGAGCCGTTGTTGCTCCTAGACGTTTCTACTTCACAATAAAAGCACTTACAGTTGACAGGGGCAGCTTTAGCAGGGCAGAGATTTGACGAACTGACTTGTTGGAAAGGTGGCATCCTATGACGGTGCCACGTTGAAAGTCACTGAGCTCTTCAGTAAGGCCATTCTCCTGCCAATGTTTGTCCATGGAGATTGCATGGCTGTGTGCTCGATTCTATCCAACTGTCAGCAATGGGTGTGGCTGAAATAGCCAAATCCCCTAATTTTGAAGGGGTGCCCAAATACCTTTGTATATAGAGTGTATGTATCCTTTAAAATGTTAATAGAAACCTGCACTGTACAAGTCTCTCTAGGTAAAATCACACAGGAATGCATTATGTCCAGCATTTTAAGTAAACGCCTTTGTGATGACACCATTCAAAAAGCAACCAAAGGTCCAAATAAAGATGTCTAGCTACAGAGCCATTGCAGATTAATTTTTAATTAAATGTCCCTAGTATCCCAGATATATATGTATCCTTTAAAATGTACAACGCCCTATTAAGACACTTCATGTTGGTGTTACCTTTATGTTGTCAGTTACCTGTATATTCCAATTTTTCTGCTGTTGGGCTCCAACTCAAATCCCAGATTGTAGCTTTAATACTTTCATGCCAATCTGATTGCTCAACTCCTCCTCTGTTTAATATCGGTATTTGGTTTGCGCCTCGTCTCGCCTCACTGCTCCAGTCTTCAAAATGTGGGATTAAAATGGGGGGAAGTATAAAAGGCTTAATAAAAGCTTTTCTCTTTTAATCCTTCCCATAATGCCCATCTCTTCTCTCCATTTCCTATTTCACCGGTTCCCAAGATGGCCAACCTGCAAAGTGAAAATTGGCTATATATTGTATAAATGTATGAAATCAAAAATTTACTTTTTGGTCTTTATTTAGGGTTAGGCATAAGGTTAGTAGTGTGGTTAAGGGTAGGGTTAAGGTTAACGTTAGGTTTAAAATCTGATTTTAAGAAGATCCAATTTAGAACTGGGCGGAGCTACCAACTTGGCCAGATAATGACAACCTGTTTCTCTCCATCGGGCCTACAGCGTCATGTTGTGGAGCTGGAGGAGGCAAAGTGTCAGATGAGGGAGGTGCTAGCGGATCAGAAGGCGGGGTTACAGAGTCTCCTCCTCCACCGCGAAGAGACCTCCAAACTAGAGGGGTCGCTAGAGGAACAGGCTTCCCAGGTAAAGAAACGTATTACTAAGACAGGGAACAGTTAGCATTTACCATAGAAAAACATGTCACACTTAGCAGCCACGCTAACTCTAGCTGGGCATGGGTATTGTATACTGGATAGGTAGCATAGTGCCACTGAGAAAGAAGAACAGGTGTTTCCCCGCTCTAAAAACTGTGGTTAGCCTGGCAGAGGGCCGTAGCCTGGCAGAGGGCCGGGCTCAGAGCCTGGATGAGCAGCCTGGTCAGAGGAATGCTGTGAGGAGAGATCTGGAGCACAGGCTGGCTAGACTGACTTCTGCCCTGAGACAGACCCTCGGGGTGGGCAGGACCAGAAACTCACAGACCCCCCGGCTCCAGAGGACACAGGCCCTCACCCTGGAGAAGTCGCTCACCAGTGAATGGTTTGGTCACTTACTGACCCCGTAGAACAACGCTCTGGTTCTCTTTGTATTGACTGAAAGTGTGTTATGACATCACACTGATGTAAGGAATATATCGATGTATGATGTTTGCCACTTTTATATTCTGGTCTTTATCCAGGTGTCTCAGTCTGTCTGTATCTCCAGGTGGTGAGAGTGCAGCAGAGGGCCATGTCCACAGCAGATCCCCAGGAGGACCCTGTCTCTCCTCGTCCCGTAGTGATGAGGGGGAGCTGGATGTGGACGCGGTGCAGGGACTTCCACCAGGAGATCACCATTCTTCTTTTTCTTCCTCTTTTAAAATCACTTCCTGATCATGCTTTGTTTACCATGCTTTGACGGTTGGTTGCTCTCCTGCAGGATAAGACTAAGAGCCAGGTGGCTAAACTACAGACCAGCCAGGACAAGTCAGGCAGCAGCTGACCAAGGCTTCGAAGGAACTGGAGGAGGCCCAAGACTGAGACAGAGAATGTCTTTTCACACTACTGAGTCGAACCAAGCCGAGCCAGACCAAGCTGTGCTGAGCTGGTCTGGTCACACATCTACCAGGGTTGGGGTCAATTCCATTTCAATTCCAGTCAATTCCATTGTCTTACGTCAGATGGTGTCACTCCTACATGATGCTCGTCCCTCAATCTGTCTTGTGGGAAGTGGAACTCATATTAAAATGTTTGAATTCCCGAGCATTCGCAAATTATGATGTCACTGTACTATCGCATGGCTCTCCATGAAATAGGCAGAATAACTAGCTAAATTGTTACAAATGTTGTGACAGTGATTTAATCGTTTGCAATTGTGAGAAAACACAAACAAAGCGGTGGCTTTCTCCTGCAAAAATTATCTGCAGGGACGTCGGTTTCCACTGCCAGTGCAGTGGCTTGGTCAGCTGCTTAGCTAACTTTAGCTTACTTTTGTAGCTAGCTTACTGACATAGCTAACGTTAGGTAGCTAACTAGTTCTACCTTACTGACATAAAAAGCTTGCTGCTTAGCCTGTTTAAATTAACCTGAAGTTGTAGAAATCAGTTTGTAGATCGTCATGTTTCTCCGCGATCGCTAAAGTTACTTTGTGTCGTTGGGTCAGCTGACTCGGGAGGCCAATGACTCGCGACAGAACAGCTGCGTCAATAAAACTCATAATAATGTTAGCATTAGCACTACTATAGTAGCTTGCTAGCTAGCTTTTTGTTGGAAGCATTGAACATTGTATTTGTAACACTAACTGGTAAAGGTGGGGGGAAAAAAGAGAAAAAAAAGAGAGAGGTGTCGGAGAGGCTGTACTGGGGTCAGATCTCTCTGTCTGTGTGTTGTCCAGGGAAGAGAGAGGTGAGAGAGAGCAGCTGTATTGGGCTCAGATCTCTCTGTCTGTGTGTTGTCCAGGGAAGAGAGGCTGTATTGGGCTCAGATCTCTCTGTCTGTGTGTTGTCCAAGGAAGAGAGGCTGTACTGGGCTCAGATCTCTCTTTCCGTGTGTTGTCCAGGGAAGAGAGGCTGTACTGGGCTCATATCTCTCTGTCTGTGTGTTGTCCAGGGAAGAGAGGCTGTACTGGGCTCAGATCTCTCTGTCTCTGTGTTGTCCAGGGAAGAGAGGCTGTACTGGGCTCAGATCTCTCTTTCCGTGTGTTGTCCAGGGAAGAGAGGCTGTACTGGGCTCAGATCTCTCTGTCTCTGTGTTGTCCAGGGAAGAGAGGCTGTACTGGGCTCAGATCTCTCTGTCTGTGTGTTGTCCAGGGAAGAGAGCGGTGTCGGAGAGGCTTTACTGGGGTCAGATCTCTCTGTCTGTGTGTTGTCCAGGGAAGAGAGAGGTGTCGGAGCAGCTGTACTGGGCTCAGATCTCTCTGTCTGTGTGTTGTCCAGGGAAGAGAGAGGTGGGAGAGAGCAGCTGTATGGGGCTCAGACCTCCCTCTCTCTCCAGGAGGAAGTGACACGGCGAGGGGACAGGGACAGGAAGAGCCTGGCACAGGAAGTAGCTAAACTCAATTTTTTTAAAGTAGAAAGTGTTCAACTGACATTACAAAAAAATACATCCCATTCTATGAGCCACATCAGTAACTTAGCATCATTTGTCATTTTATTACTATATTGGTGGCAGCCCTGGAGTAGAGACTGGCAGAGCTGAGGAGAGGCTGGCAGCCCTGGAGGAGAGGCTGGCAGCCCTGGAGGAGAGGCTGGCAGCCCTGGAGGAGAGGCTGGCAGCCCTGGAGGAGAGGCTGGCAGAGCTGGAGGAGAGGCTGGCAGCCCTGGAGGAGAGGCTGGCAGAGCTGAGGAGAGGCTGGCAGAGCTGGAGGAGAGACTGGCAGAGCTGAGGAGAGGCTGGCAGAGCTGAGGAGAGGCTGGCAGAGCTGGAGGATAGACTGGCAGAGCTGAGGAGAGGCTGGCAGAGCTGAGGAGAGGCTGGCAGCCCTGGAGGAGAGGCTGGCAGAGCTGAGGAGAGGCTGGCAGAGCTGAGGAGAGGCTGGCAGAGCTGAGGAGAGGCTGGCAGAGCTGGAGGAGAGACTGGCAGCCCTGGAGGAGAGGCTGGCAGAGCTGAGGAGAGGCTGGCAGAGCTGAGGAGGGACTGGCAGCCCTGGAGGAGAGACTGGCAGAGCTGAGGAGAGGCTGGCAGAGCTGAGGAGAGGCTGGCAGCCCTGGAGGAGAGACTGGCAGCCCTGGAGGATAGGCTGGCAGAGCTGAGGAGAGGCTGGCAGAGCAGAGGAGAGACTGGCAGAGCTGAGGAGAGGCTGGCAGAGCTGAGGAGAGGCTGGCAGAGCTGGAGGAGAGACTGGCAGAGCTGAGGAGAGGCTGGCAGAGCTGAGGAGAGGCTGGCAGCCCTGGAGGAGAGGCTGGCAGAGCTGAGGAGAGGCTGGCAGAGCTGAGGAGAGGCTGGCAGAGCTGAGGAGAGGCTGGCAGAGCTGGAGGAGAGACTGGCAGAGCTGAGGAGAGGCTGGCAGAGCTGAGGAGAGGCTGGCAGCCCTGGAGGAGAGGCTGGCAGAGCTGAGGAGAGGCTGGCAGAGCTGAGGAGAGGCTGGCAGAGCTGGAGGAGAGACTGGCAGATCTGAGGAGAGGCTGGCAGAGCTGGAGGAGAGACTGGCAGCCCTGGAGGAGAGGCTGGCAGAGCTGAGGAGAGGCTGGCAGAGCTGAGGAGAGGCTGGCAGCCCTGGAGGAGAGGCTGGCAGCCCTGGAGGAGAGGCTGGCAGAGCTGAGGAGAGACTTGCAGCCCTGGAGGAGAGGCTGGCAGCCCTGGAGGAGAGGCTGGCAGCCCTGGAGGAGAGGCTGGCAGAGCTGAGGAGAGGCTGGCAGAGCTGAGGAGAGGCTGGCAGAGCTGAGGAGAGGCTGGCAGAGCTGAGGAGAGGCTGGCAGAGCTGAGGAGAGGCTGGCAGAGCTGAGGAGAGGCTGGCAGAGCTGAGGAGAGGCTGGCAGCCCTGGAGGAGAGGCTGGCAGAGCTGAGGAGAGGCTGGCAGAGCTGAGGAGAGGCTGGCAGAGCTGAGGAGAGGCTGGCAGAGCTGGAGGAGAGACTGGCAGCCCTGGAGGAGAGGCTGGCAGAGCTGAGGAGAGGCTGGCAGAGCTGAGGAGGGACTGGCAGCCCTGGAGGAGAGACTGGCAGAGCTGAGGAGAGGCTGGCAGAGCTGAGGAGAGGCTGGCAGCCCTGGAGGAGAGACTGGCAGCCCTGGAGGATAGGCTGGCAGAGCTGAGGAGAGGCTGGCAGAGCAGAGGAGAGACTGGCAGAGCTGAGGAGAGGCTGGCAGAGCTGAGGAGAGGCTGGCAGAGCTGGAGGAGAGACTGGCAGAGCTGAGGAGAGGCTGGCAGAGCTGAGGAGAGGCTGGCAGCCCTGGAGGAGAGGCTGGCAGAGCTGAGGAGAGGCTGGCAGAGCTGAGGAGAGGCTGGCAGAGCTGAGGAGAGGCTGGCAGAGCTGGAGGAGAGACTGGCAGAGCTGAGGAGAGGCTGGCAGAGCTGAGGAGAGGCTGGCAGCCCTGGAGGAGAGGCTGGCAGAGCTGAGGAGAGGCTGGCAGAGCTGAGGAGAGGCTGGCAGAGCTGGAGGAGAGACTGGCAGATCTGAGGAGAGGCTGGCAGAGCTGGAGGAGAGACTGGCAGCCCTGGAGGAGAGGCTGGCAGAGCTGAGGAGAGGCTGGCAGAGCTGAGGAGAGGCTGGCAGCCCTGGAGGAGAGGCTGGCAGCCCTGGAGGAGAGGCTGGCAGAGCTGAGGAGAGACTTGCAGCCCTGGAGGAGAGGCTGGCTGCCCTGGAGGAGAGGCTGGCAGAGCTGAGGAGAGACTGGCAGCCCTGGAGGAGAGGCTGGCAGCCCTGGAGGAGAGGCTGGCAGAGCTGAGGAGAGGCTGGCAGAGCTGAGGAGAGGCTGGCAAAGCTGAGGAGAGGCTGGCAGAGCTGAGGAGAGGCTGGCAGAGCTGAGGAGAGGCTGGCAGCCCTGGAGGAGAGAGCTGGGGAGTGAGGACCGGGCTGCTGGGCTCAGGGTGAATGAGGAGAGGCTGGCCACGGCCCTGGACCAGGCTGAGCTCCAGGAAAGCCAGCTGAGACAGCAGGGTCTGTCTAGCTCTCTCAGTGACATTAGTGCCACGTCCAGAGGCATGCAGGAGCAGACTGCCCAGCTACAGAGGGCTCTCACCAGGACCGCAGGATCATGCAGTTACGTATGTGTTTTTACGGAGTCCTCTTCGTAACCTTACTCCCCAGCTTGTAATGCCTCCACTGGCACTATTGCATTGGTACCTTTCAATAGTGTGATTGGCTAAGATGTTGTCAAGCAGGCGTTCTCGTATGTTTGTGAGGCAGAGGATCATATTTCGAGGACCGGTAAGGACTTGTGAGGTAGGAAGCTATACTGTTAAGCACAGAGGACACCTGTTACATACCATATGTAACAGGTTGGAGTTGTGTAGGGGGCATAGGTCAGCTACATTAGATATGTTAATTGATTTACCCCCACGTTACACCAAATGTACGTCACCAAACTCCACCCACCTGCATAGCTATCGTGAAGGTTTAGATATAGTCTTATGATCTAAAGCAGGGCTCTCCCACCCTGTTCCTGAAGAGCTATCCTCCTGTAGGTTTACACCAGGGTTCTTCAATGCTGTTACTGGAGAGCTACCCTCCTGTAGGTTTACACCAGGGTTCTCCAACCCTGTTCCTGGAGAGCAACCCTCTTGTAGGTTTACACCAAGGCTCTCCAACCCTGTTCCTGGAGAGCTACCCTCCTGTAGGTTTACACCAGGGTTCTCCAACCCTGTTCCTGGAGAGCTACCCTCCTGTAGGTTTACACCAGAGTTCTCTAACCCTGTTCCCGGAGAGCTACCCTCCTGTAGGTTTACACCAGGGTTCTCCAACCCTGTTCCTGGAGAGCTACCCTCCTGTAGGTTTACACCAGGGATCTCCCACCCTGTTCCTGGAGAGCTACCCTCCTGTAGGTTTACACCAGGGCTCTCTAACCCTGTTCCTGGAGAGCAACCCTCCTGTAGGTTTACACCAGGGCTCTCCAACCCTGTTCCTGGAGAGCTACCCTCCTGTAGGTTTACACCAGGGCTCTCTAACCCTGTTCCTGGAGAGCTACAGGAGGGTAGGAACAGGGTTGGAGAACTCTGATCTAAAGCCTGTGCACAGTGGTAATGGGCTCTTTAAAAAAAACTCAAAGAGAATATTTGTTAAGCCTGGAAAGGGGGATAAAAAACTAACATAATTTAGTGTTCTGTATACATTTAGTTACGTTTTCCAACCCCACCTAACCCAGGTTTTCTAATTGAAACTTCAGGAGAAATGAATACTGTAAAACCTCCATTACTGCTGTTTGATTTAAAGTCCAGCTATGTAACCTTTTCAGTTTAGAGTTTTTATTTATTTACCTTTGCTGCTACAGTTCCCCCAAAAGGACCTGAAGTGCCCTATATAGTGCGTTACTTTTGACCAGAACCCCATAGGTCTCTGGTCAAAAGTAGTGCACTATTTAGGAAATAGGGTGCCATTTGGAACTCCGACTAGGATGACTATGCAGTAAAATGGTGGGACTAGCTCATGAATTTTCCCTGAGTTCCTCAGGAGAGCCTTAAAGGTTGAGGCTGCCGCTTCAAAGATGCTGTTCAAACAAAAACACTGCAATGCTCAATATAAATTTGTTATATTCTGCTCGGGACCTGTTAGCCCATGCCAATAAAAAGCATGGAAAAAAATCTACATTGAAAACTCTAAAACTCTTGCCTTGCCCACATCTCTGGACTAAATCTAGAGAGAAAGGGAGAGGGGGGCAGGCAGGGGACAAAGAGGGAAATAGGAAAATTATTATGTGAAAGTGATTGGACTGATTTCAAACGTTCCGGTCCATCTTCAACCAACCCATACTTCACCATAACGCGGGGTTGCGCATAGGGTTGCAAAAACCCTGTTTAATCGTTTTTTTGAATTCCTGCTTGGAGGATTTCTGGAATCAGCAGGGAATAAGGTGCACTGGGAATCCTCACACCTGGAATTCTTCAACTGGGATCTCTGAAAAGAACTGGGAATTTTGGGGATGTTTCTGGAATTTTGTAACCATAATTTGTCATGTTTTAATAATAATAATAATACATTGTATTTATATAGCGCTTTTCAAGGACCCAAAGCCGTTTTAAATTGGTATACAATTGTTTTTCCACCAGCTGGATAAGCTGTCTGACGGTAAGAGACAGAACCACTTCCTGACCGAGAGGCTCCAGAACAATCCAGAACATATTTATATTTATATTCCGGTCTCTGATTTTGCTCGTTCTGATATTTCTTAATTTCTTTCTTTTAATTAGTGTGTATTGTTTTATATTGTTAGATATACTGCACAGTTGGAGCTAGAAACATAAGCATTTCGTTGCACCTGCAATGATATCTGCAAAGAATGTTTACGCGTCCAATTTAAGGACGCAGAACTACAGTCCTCAGAGCTGGAGAAACAGACCTGGACACTGAAAGAGGTGAGTGGGGCTAGATGAGAGAGACATAATATAGAAGACAGAAAGTAGTTTTGGGGACACTAGAAAGTGTTTAAAAGTAGTTTTGGGGACACTAGAAAGTGTTGAAACGTGGTTTTGGGGACACTAGAAAGTGTTGAAAAGTGGTTTTAGGGACACTAGAAAGTGTTGAAAAGTGGTTTTGGGGACACTAGAAAGTGTTGAAAAGTAGTTTTGGGGACACTAGAAAGTGTTGAAAAGTGGTTTTAGGGACACTAGAAAGTGTTGAAAAGTGGTTTTGGGGACACTAGAAAGTGTTGAAAAGTGGTTTTGGGGACACTAGAAAGTGTTGAAAAGTAGTTTTGGGGACACTAGAAAGTGTTGAAAAGTGGTTTTGGGGACACTAGAAAGTGTTGAAAAGTAGTTTTGGGGACACTTGAAAGTGTTTAAAATATATATTTTGAGGACACGTCCCCTAGAGGTTCACAATGTTTGTTTGTTTCAGGTATTTCTGTATGTCTGTTCTAGCCCTAACCCTGAAGCATTAGGTCTTTATTGTATGTCTCCCCATAGAGGCCATAAAGCAGAGGCAGGAAGCAGCAGAGCTGGCGGCCCAGGAGATGGAGAGGCTGACCGGCCTCATCAGCACCCTGAAGCAGATGGAGGGGGAGCGGGGGGAACTGGAAAGGGTGCTGGCCTACCTGGGGAAAGATAAGGCTTCACTCAGGAAGACTTTGGAGAAGTTGAGTCAGTGGTCTTCTGGCTGGAGGTTCTGCCACATTCGGGCGGTTTTCCCCTAACAGAACCATGGTGTCTTGCCATCGGCTTGCCCATGGTCGATAGAATGGTGGCATGCTGACATAGGGGTCAGTCATCATACTGAAGCCAGCAAACTGCCATACTGGCATGCCACCAACTTGCCAAGGGGTTTCTAATGTCTGCTGACATCTAGGTCCCTCTCTACTACAGTCCAGTCAACTCTCCATCGGCATGCCACCACTTGCAAGAGTCTTCTTCTCCTCCTCCTTCTTACCTCCCCTCGCTCTGACCTCCCTCCCTCTCATCTCCTCTCTCTCTACCTCCCTCTCTACTCTACCCCTACCAACCTCCCTCTCTCTCTACCCCATCCTCCTCCTCTACCTCCCTCTCTCTCTCTACCTCCCTCTCTCTCTCTACCTCCCTCCCTCTCTCTACCTCCCTCTCTCTACCTCCCTCCCTCTCTCTACCTCCCTCTCTCTCTCTACCTCCCTCTCTCTCTCTACCTCCCTCTCTCTACCTCCCTCCTCTACCTACCTCCCTCTCTCTCTTACCCCCCCCTCTCTCTCTCCCTCTCTCTACCTCCTCCCTCTCTACCCTCCCCCGTACCTCTACTCTCCCTCCCCTCTCTCTAAGACCTCCCTCCCTCTCTCTCTCCCTCTCTCTACCCTCCCTCCCTCTCTCTGTCTCCCCTCTCTCTACACCTCCCTCCCTCTCTCTAGCCTCCCTCTCTCTATCCTCCTCCCTCCCTTCTCTACTCCCCCTCTCTCTACCTCCCTCCCTCTCTCGTACCTCCCTCTCTCTACCTCCCTCCCCTTTTACCCCTACCTCCCTCCTCCACTCTCTACCTCCCCCCTCTCTCTACCTCCCTTCTCTCTCTCCTCCCTCTCCTGTCTCCCTCTCTCTACCTCCCTCTCTCTACCTCCCTCGCTCTCCCCCTTCTACTCCCCATACCTACTCCCTCCCTCTCTCTACCTCCCTCCCTCTCTCTACCTCCCTCCCTCTCTCTACCTCCCTCTCTCTCTCTACCTCCCTCTCTCTGTCTCCCTCTCTCTACCTCCCTCCCTCTCTCTGTCTCCCTCTCTCTACCTCCTTCTCTGCCTCTCTCTCTCTGTCTGCTCTCCTTTGTCACACGTTTGTCCCTGATTGATGGAAGCGTGTAAATGTCCTGTGAGAAACAAGGGCTCTGTGCAGTAAGGATACGTCCCAAATGGTACCCTATTCCCTACAATAAAACGTTCTACTTTTAATGAGATTCCTGTGAGCCCTGGTCAAACGTAGTGCACTATAAAGGTAGAATGATGATTGGAAATATGTAAATGCCCTGTGAGAAACAAGAGCAGCGTCACTGCTGCTACATGCATTACTGCTCCTAGGGCTGGAGCACTGCTGCTACATGCATTACTGCTCCTAGGGCTGGAGCACTGCTGCTACATGCATCACTGCTCCTAGGGCTGGAGCACTGCTGCTACATGCATTACTGCTCCTAGGGCTGGAGCACTGCTGCTACATGCATTACTGCTCCTAGGGCTGGAACACTGCTGCTACATGCATTACTGCTCCTAGGGCTGGAGCACTGCTGCTACATGCATTACTGCTCCTAGGGCTGGAGCACTGCTGCTACATGCATTACTGCTCCTAGGGCTGGAACACTGCTGCTACATGCATCACTGCTCCTAGGGCTGGAGCACTGCTGCTACATGCATCACTGCTCCTAGGGCTGGAGCACTGCTGCTACATGCATTACTGCTCCTAGGGCTGGAGCACTGCTGCTACATGCATTACTGCTCCTAGGGCTGGAGCACTGCTGCTACATGCATTACTGCTCCTAGGGCTGGAGCACTGCTGCTACATGCATTACTGCTCCTAGGGCTGGAGCACTGCTGCTACATGCATTACTGCTCCTAGGGCTGGAGCACTGCTGCTACATGCATTACTGCTCCTAGGGCTGGAACACTGCTGCTACATGCATTACTGCTCCTAGGGCTGGAGCACTGCTGCTACATGCATTACTGCTCCTAGAGCTGGAGCACTGCTGCTACATGCATTACTGCTCCTAGGGCTGGAACACTGCTGCTACATGCATTACTGCTCCTAGGGCTGGAGCACTGCTGCTACATGCATTACTGCTCCTAGGGCTGGAGCACTGCTGCTACATGCATTACTGCTCCTAGGGCTGGAGCACTGCTGCTACATGCATTACTGCTCCTAGGGCTGGAGCACTGCTGCTACATGCATTACTGCTCCTAGGGCTGGAGCACTGCTGCTACATGCATTACTGCTCCTAGGGCTGGAGCACTGCTGCTACATGCATTACTGCTCCTAGGGCTGGAGCACTGCTGCTACATGCATTACTGCTCCTAGGGCTGGAGCACTGCTGCTACATGCATTACTGCTCCTAGGGCTGGAGCACTGCTGCTACATGCGTTACTGCTCCTAGGGCTGGAGCACTGCTGCTACATGCGTCACTGCTCCTAGGGCTGGAGCACTGCTGCTACATGCGTTACTGCTCCTAGGGCTGGAGCACTGCTGCTACATGCGTTACTGCTCCTAGGGCTGGAGCACTGCTGCTACATGCGTTACTGCTCCTAGGGCTGGAGCACTGCTGCTACATGCATTACTGCTCCTAGGGCTGGAGCACTGCTGCTACATGCATTACTGCTCCTAGGGCTGGAACACTGCTGCTACATGCATTACTGCTCCTAGGGCTGGAGCACTGCTGCTACATGCATTACTGCTCCTAGGGCTGGAGCACTGCTGCTACATGCATTACTGCTCCTAGGGGCTGGAACACTGCTGCTACATGCATTACTGCTCCTAGGGCTGGAGCACTGCTGCTACATGCATCACTGCTCCTAGGGCTGGAGCACTGCTACTACATGCATCCACTGCTCCTAGGGCTGGAGGCACTGCTGCTACATGCATCACTGCTCCTAGGGCTGGAGCACTGCTGCTACATGCATTACTGCTCCTAGGGCTGGAACACTGCTGCTACATGCATTACTGCTCCTAGGGCTGGAGCACTGCTGCTACATGCATTACTGCTCCTAGGGCTGGAGCACTGCTGCTACATGCATTACTGCTCCTAGGGCTGGAGCACTGCTGCTACATGCATCACTGCTCCTAGGGCTGGAGCACTGCTGCTACATGCATTACTGCTCCTAGGGCTGGAGCACTGCTGCTACATGCATTACTGCTCCTAGGGCTGGAGCACTGCTGCTACAATGCGTCACTGCTCCTAGGGCTGGAGCACTGCTGCTACATGCGTTACTGCTCCTAGGGCTGGAGCACTGCTGCTACATGCATTACTGCTCCTAGGGCTGGAGCACTGCTGCTACATGCATCACTGCTCCTAGGGCTGAGCACTGCTGCTACATGCATTACTGCTCCTAGGGCTGGAACACTGCTGCTACATGCATTACTGCTCCTAGGGCTGGAGCACTGCTGCTACATGCATCACTGCTCCTAGGGCTGGAGCACTGCTGCTACATGCATTACTGCTCCTAGGGCTGGAGCACTGCTGCTACAATGCATTACTGCTCCTAGGGCTGGAGCACTGCTGCTACATGCATTACTGCTCCTAGGGCTGGAGCACTGCTGCTACATGCATTACTGCTCCTAGGGCTGGAACACTGCTGCTACATGCATTACTGCTCCTAGGGCTGGAGCACTGCTGCTACATGCATTACTGCTCCTAGGGCTGGAGCACTGCTGCTACATGCATTACTGCTCCTAGGGCTGGAGCACTGCTGCTACATGCATTACTGCTCTAGGGCTGGAACACTGCTGCTACATGCATTACTGCTCCTAGGGCTGGAACACTGCTGCTACATGCATTACTGCTCCTAGGGCTGGAGCACTGCTGCTACATGCATTACTGCTCCTAGGGCTGGAGCACTGCTGCTACATGCATTACTGCTCCTAGGGCTGGACACTGGCTGCTACATGCATTACTGCTCCTAGGGCTGGAGCACTGCTGCTACATGCATTACTGCTCCTAGGGCTGGGAGCACTGCTGCTACATGCATTACTGCTCCTAGGGCTGGAGCACTGCTGCTACATGCATTACTGCTCCTAGGGCTGGAGCACTGCTGCTACATGCATTACTGCTCCTAGGGCTGGAGCACTGCTGCTACATGCATTACTGCTCCTAGGCTGGAGCACTGCTGCTACATGCATTACTGCTCCTAGGGCTGGAGCACACTGCTGCTACATGCATTACTGCTCCTAGGGCTGGAGCACTGCTGCTACATGCATTACTGCTCCTAGGGCTGGAGCA